TTGCATTTGTTGAGCAGTGCTTTACTTCCAATTATGTGGTCAATTTTAGAGTAGGTGTGATGTGGTGCTGAGAAGAATGTGTATTCTGTGGATTTGGGGTGGAGAGTTCTGTAAATGTCCACCAGGTTTGCTTGCTCCAGGTCTGAGTTCAAGCCCTGGGTATCCTTGTTGATTTTCTGTCTGGTTGATCTGTCTAGTATTGACAGTGGAGTGTTAAAGTCTCCCACTATTATTGTGTGGGAGTCTAAGTCCTTCTGTAAGTCATTAAGAACTTGCCTTATGTATCTGGGTGCTCCTGTGTTGGGTCCATATATGTTTAGGATCGTTAGCTCTTCTTGTTGTATCGATCCTTTTATCATTATGTAATGGCCTTCTTTGTCTCTTTTGATCTTTGTTGCTTTAAAGTCTATTTTATCAGAGATGAGAATTGCAACTCCTGCTTTTTTTTGCTTTCCATTAGCTTGGTAAATCTTCCTCCATCCCTTTATTTTGAGCCTTTGTGTATCCTTGCATGTGAGATGGGTTTCCTGTATACAGCACACTGATGGGTTTTGGCTTTTTATCCAATTTGCCAGTCTGTGTCTTTTGATTGGTGCATTTAGTCCATTTACATTTAGGGTTAATATTGTTATGTGTGAATTTGATACTGCCATTTTGATTCTAAGTGGCTGTTTTGCCTGTTAGTTGTTGTAGATTCTTCATTATGTTGAAGCTCTTTAGCATTCAGTGTGATTTTGGAATGGCTGATACTGATTGATCCTTTCTATGTGTAGTGCCTCTTTTAGGAGCTCTTGTAAAGCAGGCCTGGTGGTGACAAAATCTCTGAGTACTTGCTTGTTCGCAAAGGATTTTATTCTTCCTTCACTTCTGAAGCTCAGTTTGGCTGGATATGAAATTCTGGGTTGAAAGTTCTTTTCTTTAAGAATGTTGAATATTGGCCCCCACTCTCTTCTGGCTTGTAGTGTTTCTGCCGAGAGATCTGCTGTGAGTCTGATGGGCTTCCCTTTGTGGGTGACCTGACCTTTCTCTCTGGCTGCCCTTAGTATTCTCTCCTTTATTTCAACCCTGTTGAATCTGACGATTATGTGCCTTGGGGTTGCTCTTCTTGCGGAATATCTTTGTGGTGTTCTCTGTATTTCCTGCAATTGAGTGTTGGCTTGTCTTGCTAGGTGGGGGAAATTTTCCTGGATGATGTCCTGAAGAGTATTTTCCAGCTGGGATTCATTCTCTTCGTCCCCTTCTGGTACACCTATCAAACGTAGGTTAGGTCTTTTCACATAGTCCCACATTTCTTGGAGACTTTGTTCATTCCTTTTTGCGCTTTTTTCTCTGATCTTGGTTTCTCGTTTTATTTCATTGAGTTGGTCTTCGACTTCAGATATTCTTTCTTCTGCTTGGTCAATTCGGCTATTGAAACTTGCGTTTGCTTCGCCAAGTTCTCGTATTGTGTTTTTCAGCTCCTTTAATTCATTCATATTCCTCTCTAAGGTATCCATTCTTGTTATCATTTCCTTGAATCTTTTTTCAAATCTTTTTTCAAGGTTCTTAGTTTCTTTGCATTGATTTAATACATGATCTTTTAGCTCACAAAAGTTTCTCATTATCCATCTTCTGAAGTCTAATTCCGTCATTTCGTCACAGTCATTCTCCGTCCAGCTTTGCTCCCTTGCTGGTGAGGAGTCTTGGTCCTTTCTAGGAGGCGATGTGTTCTGGTTTCGGGTGTTTTCCTCCTTTTTGCGCTGGTTTCTTCCCATCTTCGTGGATTTGTCCGCTGGTCGTCTGCGTAGTTGCTGACTTTTCATTTGGGTCTCTGAGTGGACACCCAGAATGTTGATGATGAAGTATTTCTGTTGCTTGGTTTTCCTTCTACCAGTCTAGCCCCTTCGCTGTACGACTGCTGAGGTCCGCTCCAGACCCTGCTTGTCTGGGGTGCACCTCTAGTAGCCGTGGCACAGCGAGGGATGCTACCAGTTTCTTTTTCTGCTCTCTTTGTCCCAGGATGATGCCTGCCTAATGACAGTCTTTTGGATATAGAGGGGTCAGGGAGCTGCTTGAGGAGACAGTTTGTACTCTATAGGGGTTTAATTGCTGAGCTGTGCACTCTGTTGTTCATTCAGGGCTGTTAGGCTGCTATGTTTTATTCTGCTGCAACACAGCTCATTAAACAACCCTTTTTTTTTTTTTCTCAAATGCTCTGTGTTGAGGGGTTTGGGCTTTATTTTTGGATGTCCGATCAGGTGTCCTGCCCAGCTCAAAGGCAGACTAGCCACTGTTTGGCTGCCGAGGCTCCGCCCTGCTGTTGTGTGATTCGCGCTGTTCCTGCCGGCTCTGCTGTGGTCTCCGCCACGCCCTGCGGCGGAGTCTCTTCGTTGTAGTGTGTTGCCTCAGCAACGGCAGGCTGTGTCAGCAGTGGGCGTGTATCTCAGTAGGGACGGGTTGCCTCGGCAACGGCTGGCTGCGTCAGCAGTGGGCGTGTATCTCAGTTGGGGCGGGTTGCCTCGGCAACGGCTGGCTGCCTCAGCAGTGGGCGAGTATATCAGTTGGGGCAGGTTGCCTCCGTAGTGGTGGACGCCCCTCCCCCACAGAGCGTCTCGGACCGTCTGCCCGGGATAGTTTGAAATCGCGGTTTTGTTCGTCCCACTGGGTATCCCAAACGATCTGTCCCTGCAATCCCCTGGGCTGGGCTACTGTGCAAGTCTCGTTCAGTCTCAATTCCAGCCCTCTCAAGTCTCAGGTTGCCGGTTCAACAAGGCACCCGGACAAGCGCGCCCTGTGGGGATTGCTGGGTATGGCCGGCCGCCGCCGCCCCAGCTGCCGGCTTCGCCAGGCAGACCTACTGCCTGGCGTCCTGTGTCTTTTTATACTTGGGAGTTTCCCCGTTCTGTGGGCAACAAAGATCAGTCTGGAAATGCAGCACTGACTCACCGTTTGCGAATTCAACGCGGGCTCCAATCCTGGGTTGTTCTCACAGCGCCATCTTGAGTCCCCTCCCCAGCTGACATTTTTAATTAGTTACTGAGCACTCCCCCTATCTCTACCTTTTTTGGTCTAGCTTAGAAGGAGGTTCAGGCTCATCTGTACTTTCCTTGCTCAAGACCAGCAATCATTGATTTCTCCAAAAGATTCTGGCTTCTTCTAGTGGGGACTGGTATTTAGAAACCAAAATCTAGGAACTAGCTATGTTTATTACTACTGGGATGTTATTGCTTCCGGGATGGGGGTATCATTGCTTTTAGTACTATTCAGCACATACACATGCATATATGGGTATGAGTACTTACTGATACCTCTAATTCTAGTCTCATACCACAGCATTCTTTTTCTCTTTCTCTCATTCTATAGCTGTATCTCCTCCCACAGAGAAAACCATGATTCCAATAACATGAATGTATTAATATTTACTTGTTTGTGGCTTACAATAACTCTCTCCCTAATTTTAGAATTGCTACACCAATATCCAGTACCAACAACAAACTCACTTAGTTCGAGATCTCTGTAGTTCTTTTTATCCTCAGAATATATTTTCTTGATATAAAGTCAAATGCTGTGTTCAAAAATTACCTGTATTATTTTCCATTTTCTTCTGTATGGTTATGTTATCTATTGGATATAGAATTCGGTTTATTTGTTTCTGAATGAGTTCAATTTTAGTTTCTCCCATACTTTCTTCTTTAAATTTAATTTTATAATATGTCAAACATTAACCTAACTCAAAAGTCAAAAATGTATAAAAAGATATATTCAATACTGCCAAGTGTTTAAAAAAATGGTCATTTTAGCTTTAAAATCTAATAAGGCAACAGTGTGTATAGTAATGACCAGTGAATAGGGCAATTTTATCAAATGACATAAGGGGTATCAGTACATTTTTAGAACTCTAAAGGGCCATGCAAATAATAATTCTTCTTGGTTTGATTCTGTATTATTAATTGCTTCTTTAATTGTAAATCTTTTAAATTTATACCTGAGAGTTGTATACTAATTTTTAGCAGAATACTGTGTGTAGATTTTCATTGTTTCTTTTGGTATACATAATCTATAGAGCAGTGTTTTTCTATGTATCACATCTTATTTGTGAGATCTGAAATACTTTCAAGGAAAATTAAAAGAACATTTGATTTGTACTGTTTTTGTGTGTATTTTTCTGGAATAGTCAAAATATGGGTACATTTGGGGGAAAAACTGAAAATTGTGAAAATTGGAAAATGTCAAATATGCAATTGTGTCTAAATAAAATTACACCAAGTATTTGATTGTTTGAATATATATACACATACTAACATATACATACATCTATACATATATATACACACATGTACATACACACACTTTTTCTCTGGATGTTTTGTCTCTCTATAATAAATTATATTAAAAAGTGATATTCTTAGAGAAATGTGAAATAATGAGTTGTGCAGATTTTAAAGGAGCTATAAATTTACTTTGAAAAATATTTTATGTAACATTGTTATTTTCACCCCAAAGTAGAGGAATTTCAAATGTATATAACATTTCTTGCTGAAGGTAATGTCAGCAAAATCACTTTAATTCAGCATAGTTCATTTACTCATGTAAGAAAAATTAATTGCATAATGTCTATTTGGTTAGGTCTTGAATATTTTCTCTAAGCATATCTCATTTTAATTCTAGGATGCTTTGATTTAGTGTAGAATATGATGATTATTATAAAATGTATACTTGGACTTTTAAGTAGGTTATTTAAATCATTAGCCTGAATATCATGCATACCCTGGAAACTCGAAGGGTGGCTAGAGTGTGGATTTGTATGCTTTTAAAAATGAGGTGGTGGTTGCTTGACATCTGGTTTTGCTTTCTGACTTGGTAAGCTAATGCAAGATGCCTAGAATAATGCCCTTTCCTTTAGTAAACCTAATAATTTTTTTTGAAAAGTCCACAAAACTTGCTTTTATCTAAATTCTAGTTTTGAAAGGTTTATATATATTAACATTTTTTACATGCAAATACTGACCCTGGAAGTGTTAAGCTCCTTTCAGTCATTTATACTGCAGTTTGATGCATTTTAATCTGATTACTTTCCTTCTAAATCCGAGAAGAGCTGTAGTGAGACTGCATTTTTAAAGGGAAAGGTGAATCTTTTGTAGCACATAGGGAACTTCAAGGATCATCCTGGAATGGATGCCTAATGTAACAGGAAACTGAAGTGGGAGGAGGGGGAGAGGGTGTGGTAGGAGAAGGAAGATTCCTTTGTAAATATAGCAAAAGGCCAGATTTTTCCAATTTTTTAGTTTTGCAGAGCAACTTGATTATCCAGAATCACCTGAGACACCAAATTCCTGGATCCTTCTTAGGAGCTTCTTTCCTCCAGAGCTCATCTTCCTAATCCTAACACAGTTTAATTAATCTGACTGCTGTTCTTGGTACTCTGAGACTCGTCTACAGAAGGAGGCTCTGTCACAGATCCTCAGACCCACAGCTGGATGTTATATGAGGGCAGTCTTGCCTAAATGGAAATGAAACTCCACACCCTATCATAATTTGTTTGTGCCTTATGCCTGAACTATTTCTTTATGTCACAAGAATTAATAATCTTCATGGTTCCAAATGCATGAATCAGAGAAACAGCAGGGAGTCAGAGATTTTTCTCTGTCAGTCTCTATGAGTCCATAAATTGAGATCTCAGGAGACAGATGTGCTTAGCACAGGAGTGGCAGAGCTTTGACTGCAATAATGGTCTTTCCACTTCTGATCCAGGGCTTGGACCCTTTGCCCAAATACCCAGTACTTGCTACTACTGAACTGACCTTCCTTTTTTCTCTTGGAAGGAGCATTTAAGCAAACTTCTGGGCCCATGAGAGCATTGGTATCTGCTTGCAAGGAAGTTTACTTCTGGAAAATTAGAGATTATATTTTCATGTGATGCAAGTATTTCCAAGTATATGTACTTCTAAAGAAATTTTAATTTAGATGATAAGCCCATTTTTGCCCTTTTTTTTTTTTCAAAGCAACTTGATCCGGTAAGTGTTGGCATCTTAAATGGAAATGTTTATGTAGTTTTGCTGGCTCTTCGCTATGGCAGTAAAATGCAAGACAGCGCTGTGGTTGAATAAAATTCTCAGAATTTTATTCATAGCTATTATAGTAGCTATGTAGTGGTATCTCTTTGTTGTTTTCATTTGCATTTCCCCACTGACATGACACTGAGTCTTTCAATATGCCTGTCATCTGTATATCTTCTTTAGTAAAGTGTCTATGCAGAGCATTTTGCTCTTTTTCAGTTGAGCTCCTTTGTTGAATGTTTAAGAGTTTTTTGTATATTTTGGATACAAGTTCTTTATCAGATATATGTTTTGCAGATATTTTCTCCCAATCTGTGGCTTATCTATGCATTCTCTTAACAATATCTTCTCAGAGCTAAAGTTTTTAATCTCAGTAAAGTTTCATCTATCATTATTTTTCTTTCATGGATTGTGCTTTCATGTTGCATCTAAAAAGCCATCTCCAAACCCAAGGTTACCTAGATTTTCCCCCATGTTATCTTCTAGAAGTTTTATGGTTTTTTGATTTACATTTAGTTCAAAATTTTGAGTTAATTTTTGTTAAAGGTGTTAGGTCAATGTCTAGATTATTAATATGTTTGCATGTATAGGTACAGTTCATTTAGTTTTCACTCTAGTGAGTGAATTAGCATTCTTGGATATATTTATAGGAAGATATTTTAATCACTGAAGACCTAGGAGAATATTGTTTTTCAGCTAACAGTCTCTTAACTATGAAGATAAATATTATCAGAACATGAAATTGTTTTCTCAGTGAAGTGTTTTAACATTTGGTCTTTCACTATACTTTAGAATGATTTGGAAAGACTAGAACTGTGTGTATGATTTGGAGCCGGTTGTATTTCTTAATTAAATGTTTGGTAATGCTCTTGTTTAAGTAGTTGTCGTCTTTTAAAACTTTTTTAAATCCATTTCATCCTCTGAGTTACTGGTTTGGAAGATTGTTACAATGTACCTGGCTTCTTTTCTTTTCTTTTTCTCTTCTTCTCTTTCTCTTCTTTTCTTTCCCTCCCTCCCTCCCTCCCTCCCTCCCTCCCTCCCTCCCTCCCTCCCTTCCTTCCTTCCTTCCTTCCTTCCTTCTTTCTTTTTCTTTCTTCTCTCTCTCTCTTTTCTTTCTTTCCCACTGTACTTGGCTAACAAACCTTAACATCTGCTGACATTGTTGATCCTAGGAATAAAAACGTGAGATGATCTCTGGAAATATTTCTAGGCACAGAGCCCAGACAATCCATAAAACCCATATATTTCAAACTATGCCAGTTTTGTGAAATCTTTACCAAATATTTGCCAGTGATTTGGTTACATAGGCCTGTTTAAAGAAAAGATTTTAAAGTTCTTGAGGTGATTTGTAATTTTCATGAAAACTAGGAGCCTTTTCATATCCAAATTTTTCCTTTCAGATTGTCTTGGTATTCTTTTTTGCAATAATGTAGCCACTCGCATTATAATGGTTTGCTTAGTGTTGAACCAAATAATCTGAAACAAAAGTGAATAAAGGATTTATTTTTTAAAACAAAATTTTACTTAAGCTACAAAGCAGAAATGAGGTCATATTTTACTTTTAATAAGGAGTTTTCAAATACAGGTTATTATTGCTAAATGTTGTGTGTAATATGGTGGGCTCGTGGTGAAGGAATTAATTGACAATTTAATACTTGCCATTTGGATTTTGTTTAGCTGTCCTTTGTATGATATATTTTTACCTCCTATCCTATATCGTTATCTCACACTTGCCATGTGTTTAAAAGGATTGGCATGAAAATAAAAATATATAGACCTAGCAATTCTAAGGCATATGTACCCATGTTCCACCAAACACAAGAATGTTCATAGCAGCATCATTTATAACACCCTCAACTGAAAAATACTCAAATGTCAGTTGATAGTAGTCTAGATAAATAAATGATATATTCATAAAATATTCATGAAATAATATATGCATAAAATATACTTTACATACATGAAAACAAATAGTTTGCAGTTATATCCAACAGTGTGGGCAAAACTCACAAAAGAATAAATTCTACTTAATTGCATTTATAGGAACTTTAAAAACAGGCAAATGTAACCCATGGTATCAAAAGTCAGGATAGTGGTTACATTTGAGTCACGTAGTGATTATAAGGGGGCATGAGAAGGCATCTGGGGTTTTGGTAATCTTGATCTTAATGCCGGCTATATGGGACATGTTCACTTTGTGACAATTCATAGGCTCTATGATGTTTGCTTGTATGCACACATGTTATATTTTAACAGCATGCTTTAAGAAAGGCAGTGTTTGCAACAACATAGGCCCCAGTGAGGGCAGCATTTAATAGGGAGCAGTTAATAATGGGGAGCTAGGAAATGTGGGCAGTTCTGGTTGTAAGAGATGTGTGAGGTTTATTTTTTAAAGATTATTTAACATTATTTAAATTATTACTTACATTTAAATTATTGTTCACATTTTGCATTTGAGAATTATATTTTTAAAATAAATAATTAAGTCTATTTACATAAATATAAAACACAGATTTCCCACTGCTGGAAATACATAATCATTTGCTTAAAATGGTATTTGTGTTGTTATGAAATCAGATATTGAAATTAATAGAGAGATCCTTGCTTAAACGTCTTTCATGACTTATCATTGCTCACAGGACAGAATTCTGATTTCCTGGGGAAGCATAGAAAGGCCCACGTGATCTAGACTCCCTCCAAGTCTATTTACCTGTTCTTCCCCAACCCTCCCTATCACACTATCTCCAAAATTCCCAGCTTCTTGCAGCTCCTTGGGCACTGGTTTTTCCACACTGACTAGTCTTTGCTTTGGCTACTCCTTCTCCCCTGCATGCCTATTATATTCACATATTTCAGACTACTGTGTTTCTAGTGCTTAATGCAGTATCTGGCCCTTGATGGGATGTCAGTTAATTAAAGCAGCTTGAAGACTTCATAAAGTAACTGTATCATCATCTTAAATCCTTAGATACTTTTGTGTCTCTTTGTTAGGTTTTAGGACATTCGGTGTAGTGTGAGTTTCCTGTTTATCTTTATTCTACGGCAGTATTTAGACCATGCTAGGAACTTAAGTGTGGAATGGACAAAAGATTTGAAGTTTTGAATTGATACAGAAACCAAAGTCAACTAGATTTGTCTTTGATGTATGCTTTATAAATTTTTAGCTTCAAATTTACCTTTCTAATTGCATGATTTATAGATGCAAAAGCTGTTGGTATTTATTTTTAGTATATGTTTTGTGGGTAGGTGCTAGGCAGTGAGAGAAATCCAAGCAAGTAAAAGAATTTTTTTCTGAATAATTTACAAAGCGAATTAAAAAAAAACCAGTAAAACAAAACCTACCTGTTCATTTTATGTTCATTTAGATCTATTGTGTGTATTATAGAGAAGTATCTTGCTGCTGGCCCCCTACTTTAAGGGAGACTGCTGCATACTTTAAAGGTGCCTATCAGGAATATTTTTGCTTCTCTGCAGGGCTATCAGTAGCTCTCTTTGCTTCATAGAGATGGATGGGGCTGGGGTAAGTGGTATCTGAGTATTCTAAAAGGAATGAAATCAGTCATCAAGTGAGAGTTAAAAATGGTGTCTTTTTATTGTTAATAAGCCAGCCTTCTACCTCTATCCCTGAAGAAAACCCATGAGTGCATCAAAGCTCTTGCATGTTTTGTTGTTGTTTATTTGTGGCTTTATAGTGTTGTACCAAGAAACAAAGCACCATCAATCTTTCTTAAAATACCCTTTCCCTTCCTGATACCTTTCGAAAAATTTATTTCTTATCTATTTAAACATTGAACTGCATTCTCGTTTGACAATTTCAAACTCTAAACTCTATTGCATGTAAGGTGGGTAGCTGCATTTTCGACAACTGTTTTTCATACTTTGGTAACTTGTTTATCTATCTATTCTCTTCAAATTTAAGGCTCTCATTTGCTGGTCAGGTGGCTCACAGAGGTGATGTGAAAAGGAGGATAAAGAGGTGTTAAAAAGCAGGATACCCAAAATTTCGTGTCAATAAAGCTGCCGAGCTGAGGGAGGGGATGGCATCAGAATACTGACAATGAATCCTAGAGTCATGGGAGGACAGAGATGGTGGGGCAATCCTGAGGTAGTAAACAGGAAGAAAGTTGGGGTTCACAGATGGTGGAAGCCATGAATTAAGGAAGGGAGGGGTCGTTGTCATCAATGGTATTTTACTCCCTCACTTCCTTGAAAATGGCATCTTATTTAACTCATAGTGAAGCAGGACTTGACAACACTGTAATGAAATTGCAAGGGGCAGAAAGGTCCATTCCCAAATGGCTTGATGAGTCATCTTGTGGGGACTTCTGCTTTAAAACCTCATTACTCCTTAACTGATAAAACCTAGGCACAGCTAACTAATCTGAGCTTCAAGATAACCTCTCAAGTAATTTAGAAAAGAGGAAATGAGATGCTTTCTTTTAAAGCTTGTCTTTAAACTGTTAGAATAGTAGGGGGTGGTTATTTTGTTAATCTTTATACTTTGGAAGAAGAATTGTGTTTTTATAGTAATACATTTTAGACTATCAAAAAAGAAGTGCTTTGACCACAGCTCAAAACCACCAAATATTTATTTTTAGACTAAGTTTAGACTGAGTGAATTTAAAATTTATTTTGGTATCTATCACTTGAAATTAAACAAAACAAAACAGGAAAGGGTGAATAGATAGTCATTGGGAACTGGACTGGTTTTGCTTTTGTAAATGGGGGATTAGGATTCGTCTTGTCCTATAAAGGACATGCAGCATTTAGATTAGACATAATCTGATTGTATTGTAATACAAAGGCCATTCAAGTCAGTTCAGTGTCCAGGGTCTATAAGCACCATATGACCACTTATTGGTCCAGGGAAGAGTATTAACAGAAAGATAATAATGAGTTTTAATCCAAATCCTTAAAGCACAACAGCTGTGGCTTCAAATGAATTTTCTTTCAGACAT